TATTAGACCAGTGTATCCTTAATTTGTCCCTTTCAAGGTGCATTAACAAAGATTTTACACATTAATAAATCAAGTGAAAATCAGACAGGATGTCATCTCTCATCCTCTGTTAGCTTGGTTTTAACCACTGTTTTTAATCCGGCTCTCTCAGGCCACCCCGCTTTATAGAGACGTACAGCAAAATTTCTGGAGTGCCCTGTGTAAGTGGCAGGGTTAATGGTAGCTGGAGGCTTGGGTTTGCCATGTTTCATACTTGTTCAGTTGGCCGTTTTTCTATGATTACAAGTTCTGAACAACCTGTCAAGTTCAAAGTAAGAGCTAAATCAAAACAAAGTGACAACCAACCTTGCTTTCATTCATTCACGTTGATATTTGATGCACCGATACTCTGTTTACTTCCCCTTAACTTTACAAGATGATAAAAGAAATCTGCTTTGTATAGCATTAAACTTTAGGCCTCTGCTCTGTGTCTGACTTGGCAGCTTTAAGCCTGGAGGACCTCAATCAGTCTCCATCTCCTGGATCAATATCCATTAGCCTCAGAGTGTGTGCATGTGTGTGCAGACCTCATCCTGGATGAATGGGCCTGAGTCATAAATGCAAGCTCTGGATCAGATTTCTCCCTCTCTCCTGCTTGTCTGGTTTACTTCGCACCAAAACATGTACACAGCAATGCTCATTCAAACATACAGACCAACCTTATGAACGAGACGCTACCGCCTCTAAACACTCATTCATGAAGACCTGGCAGTGCAGACTGAATTTACTTTTGTTCCACTGTGAATATCGCCTTACACTACCAACAAGTAATAACTGTATGAAATCAACAATAAATCAGCCTCTTAGTCATCAGTGTAGCCAAAGATATGTTTGGAGTGAAATAAAATAATGATCGACAGCATGCCACAACAAAACTCCCTGTTTCAGGGCTCTGAGTCCTGGGTATTAATGCTAGTCTGAAAGATATGGAAGAGAGACAGAAGGATGGTTGGTTTGTTTGTTTTAAATTAGATGTAATTTTGAATCAGGACAGAGAAGCTCAACGCAATGCAACAAGAATGAGTGGGGACGGGGGGATGGACGGACATAAAACAGATAATGGCGAATGAAAACTCAGACAACAGAGTAGCAAAGAAAGCAAAGAGGTAAAACATAAAAAAAATAAAGAGACCAAATCATGAAGAATGGAAACAGAGATGAGGACAGAGCTGTGGATATAGGGGTGGAAGTGTAGCCCTTGGCAAGACACTCAAACCTGCACATGTCAGAACAAGGTTCCCAGACCTATTTGGAGGAAGTTCATGAGCAAAACAAAGAGAATGGGAGCCTGGCAGCGACACTTGAGCCTTCCAACTAGCTTACTGTACAAAGCCAATGGTAGGATCTCTATAGTATAGTGGTTTCACTACAGAAATGATTCAGAATTCAGAACAACACCTTCATCAAGCAAGCTCTACTTTGAAATGTTTTTGAGCCATTAACCATGCAAATTAATTCAGTATCAGTCGAGGTTATGAAAACCTAAAAGTAGTAGACATACTGCTTGGAAAGATGAAGCAACTGCTCAACTGGACAGGTTCAGCACAGAGGTCAGTCCACTGGTGATGCACAGGTCATTTACTTCATTTATCTACATTTAACAAAAGACAGCAGCTAAAGAAGGTTACTAGAAGCTTATCTGATATCTGCAGTAGCTTTAATAGCATAAACTGACACAGACCACGCATTGCAGTTTGCAACAAAAATCTAATTACTGTTAGCCAGATCCAAACTCGTGTTTACAGTAAATGTTCATAGTTATCATTATGTCACACAGTGGGTGATGTTGTCAATCGATGTCCCACTGCACTCAGTGACATCAGCACACCCCTGACTGTGCCACAAGCTCTCAGGGGGTAAAGCAACACTGAGGCAGCATGTACCAATAAACACAGGCACCACCTGAGAAAATTTGGGTCATATTTAACATCAAGACAATCTGTTTTTTTTGACTGCAACACAATCATAACACATAACTCGTAATCAGTGCCACATATAGCTTTAGAGCTGCATTGTTTGTGAATAAAACAAAAACACATGCTCCTAAAGGACTGTTATAAAGAACACAGCCTATGATAGCATTCTGTCAATAAACCATCAATACTTGTTAAGTACCATACTTTCCGGACTATAAGCCGCTACTTTTGTCGCTTCATGCCCACACCCTCGTCATGGACAACACACGACAAAATGCATATGATGCAGCTTTCAAGTTACAGGCGATCGATCTGGCTGTTGACATATCTCACGTTACAATGTGGACACCTGCGGCTATGTACAAAATGTTTTTTCGTCTTATATTTAGTGTATGAGGCTGATAGTCCGGAAATTATGGTAGGCAAGCTACAAAAATATGGATCATAAGAACTGCTAGATTAGGTAACTGTTTAAGCTATGATCTTGGTCAACATTAGTGATAGTAGCAGTTGGGTTGAGGTTAAAAGTTAGTGATTGAACGTAGCCATGATTTTAGTCATGTCCATTACTATAGTGACTGACAATGTCTCAAGTACAGTTTGGCCTGAATTTTTAATGACATTTGTGTGACAATCAGATAGTCTTGTGATTTAAACACCAGTGGTAGGTAGCAGCATGAAATGCTCATTGATATAGAGACACAGATTAGTTTATATTTTCTTTCCACAGCTTTTGCTAGCAAAAACTAATGATCTGTGTCAGTCCTCAGAAACATACACAAAGTTAATATATGGCTTAACTGCTGTTTGGGTAAATAAAAAGCAATTTCTATACTACAAACTAAAGCTGCAGCAGATGGGCTTGTGGTAACAAGAAAAGTAGGCATGTCATGAAAATTTTAATTATGCAACAAATTAGTAGCAGATCTGATTAACAATGAAGCAGAATGGCTGCAGCTGTGCCGCATCGACCAAACACACCAAGTGTGACTGCAAGTGAGTTACAGGATGCCTTTTGCCTCTCTCCCTGAGAGGAAGGCATCAGATCAGTTCAGTATAGATACTGAACTTCCCTCTGTGGCTTATTATCTCGCTAGACACAAAACCACAGGAGCCAGAGGCTGGCTGTCAATACTCCGCATTCTCATCCTTGTTTACACCCCTTTAACTGTATTTTAAAATCTCAGTTCTACCACAGTGATCACACATAAGGCAGTGCACCAGAACAGTCAGTAATGTGGCTGATGAGCAGCCCACACAAAAAATGAATTACTATGCTCTGCTTCTGATTTTCTCTCATACACTACATTTAATATTTTAGGAATACCTATGTGGATATAAAGAAAAATGAACTTGCAACTACCACTATACATAACCTCAAACAAGCTACCAAAGCAAGTGGAGTTGGATGATGATAATGAGACATGACATCAGGCACTAGATCTAATTCACTGCCTGCAGTCAGTGAACAGAGCTACAGCTTTATCTGGCATCTCCAAGTACAGCCCACAGGCTCACTGTTTTTTTCATGTCAAAGACCCACATATACACAGGCATTCGCCTGTGGATCACAATTTCATTCAGCTGTATCCCAGAAAATGCCATACTGCAAAGATTTGTACCAAGTGGATAAATGTTTATACTATACATTATAAGGCCACATGAAAATGGTAACAAACAGAACATACTAACACAGGGTTTCACTATGCAGAGGCTGCTGGGCAAAATAAAACTTAACCTCATATTTCTGCAACTCCTTAAATCTTTTCTAGGATCCGTGAAAGTCACAGTTTATGAGGCATTGTTATGAAATCAGTGCAGGCCTGTGTTGGGACTCAAAGTGAAAATCCTTGCTGACAAATTAGCCTACTTAGCTAATATTATCACTCTGTACATATAACTGGGAAGCAACTAACCATGTCCAAAAGCAGCAGTTCCGCTGTGAATAAATAAAGGAGTGTCTGTATCGAAACATATTCTGGGGTTTTACCACAACCCGCAGATAAAAGGCAGTCTTATGGCCTTGAAGGGTATTTTACACAGCTAGCTTAGCCTGCACAGAGTACACCCAGGCTAAGTGTGCCACGCCATGTATTGTTTACATAGCTTGCAATGTTGTGCTATTTTTTGACAGCACATATAACGACAAACAACGAGTTAATGGAATGGTACATTTTAAACGTACGAGTATTATTTATGTTTGTATTTAATACACCGGTAAACTGTTCAGCTACACAACACCTTTGTCAACTCACTGGCAAGCTAGCAATGCTAGGCAGGCAGGAATCTCGGCTTAAATGCTAACATTGGAAGCTAATGGTAGAACTAGTTAGTTAGTTGCTACACGAGTCCATTATCGGACATTCTTGACCCACTTCTCTTCTTGCTTCAGTAACATCTACAGTCACTTCCCTGATTTTGGACCACAATATGGCAATAAAATGTCATTTCAACTCTGTATTAATCCTAATACAAAATTTAAATTTTATTCAATCGTTGTGTCGGGTTAGAGCTGGGCAGAGATCATGAATTTTCGGTTCCTAATTTTCCTTTCACCTAATGTTTATTAGGTCAAACCTTGGTTCCACGTCTTCATTATAATCACAGTCACTTGTGTAAGTTAGTTTGAAACGTACCGTGGAAAGGAAAACAAAGAACTGTATATTTTGTAGAAAAGTGCACGTAAAGCTAGCGAGGCTCTGCCTAACAGTAGAATTGTCCGAAGATGGAACTTAGACAATTGGCGCTCTAGCTAACGCTACCTAGCTATACAGTCGGATGATCTGAGGTAGTGGGAGCATTCACTAAGCCCATTTTCAGAGATTTTCACAACTGTGCTAGCTATTACTGTTTATTGTACACTTAACCTATGACAACAGTTATGAATCTCATCTTTTAAAGCCTAGCCTACACTTCACAGTTTGAGTCACCAAACAGGCAACACGGACGGGGAACAATGTCCCTCGCTTAGCTGACCAAGCTGACCAAAGGGAGCAGCCCTCATTGGGGCTCAGTTCGACCTCTCCGGCTCATTTTTGGGCTTACCGGTTTTGGAGAACAGCGCTATGTCGCTGACGTCCTTCGTCGTTTCCTCGGCTCCTTCCCCAGAGCTCATGGCTGCCACAACACGAACCCGGAGCTCAATATCTCCCGAGTAAATCCTCCAAAAAAATCGTGATGGCACCAAATCACCTCTGCTCTGAAAAAAGCGTCATTTAAGCCACACAAACAGTTAGGAAGACTCGTAGACGCTAACAGTGCCATCGGCAGACCTCCATCTTGGGGGTAACGTAATTGGAAATAATCAGCAGGGGACACCGGGTTCCTCCTCGGAGTAAAGCCGAGGGGAGAGTCGCTGTAGCGCGGAAGAGGGGGCGGGAGGGGCCGGGTCGATGCTCGGTGAATCTCCGAAAGCTTTCGGAAATGAGCAGACGGTGGGTCGTCAATGAACGATGACGTGCTGTATGTGTGTGCGTGTCCAACTTAAACATGGGACATTAAACCAGTAAGTTATGTATCAGACAACCACACATAGACAGTAACAAGGAATATAAAGGCTGTCCGTTTTGATAATTATATGGCTGACAGGCTTATAGGCTAAGTAACTAGAACTGTCCGATTATGTGATAGGTTACGCACCGCTGAAAAAAATACCAGTTCTGGGGAAATGTAACAGACTACGAATCACGTAGCTTATTATTGATGGTTTCTGTTGTGTTTCCATACAAGTATGTCGATGTTTCGTTAGTCATAGTAAGTTAAAGGGAGGAGTAAAAAGTGTCCCGGATACAATCCAAAGGGAAAAGGTCAGCTATTCTGATTTGGGGCCCTGTCATGACATTCCTCTCTCTCGCTCGCTCTCTCTATTCTTTGTGGTCTGAGCTGTATCTCTCATGCCACCTGCTGGTGCAGGCTGGAACTGGTGCTTCTGCTCAAACTGCCTAATAAAAATGAACGCGTTTTCATAATACATTTTTTGCATGATTTAATCACACAATAAATAATACCATCGTTGAATAACCATGGGATGTTAGAAAGAAACCGTCCTTCACCCTGTAATTAAAGCTATCCATTTAATAATAACAATGATGATGATGTAACTTAAATTGTGAAACAATTCAGTGTTTAAAACTCAGCTCAAAGGTTAATTTAACCTGCTTCTTTTTAAAATAATATTTATAAAGTTGTTAAAAGATAACTGTTTGTTGTTATATTTCTAATCCTCTTTTTTTAATATTAGATGTTAAGAAACTGTTAGATACACTTTTAAGTATAACCCAAAATCATTTAAACAGTGGATAAATAACTGACTCAACACCTTTCTAAAAGTTAAAAATTTTATGTAGGTTGTAAGGCTATTATATTTGTATGCATTAATGTAAACTAAACAGTACTGTAACACATCAAAAGCTAATTAAAACAGTAGGAAAGAGGGCGATCTGGAGTAAAAATAGCTGGAGTAAAGCAAAACAAACAGTTGAAAAAACTTAGAAAAACTCAACTGGACTAGATTTCTAGGTCGAAGACGTTTCACCTCTCATCCAAGAGGCTTCATCAGTTCTGACAGACTGGTGTTGAGCCAGAGATATTTATCCCCCTCGGTGATGTTTCAGTCCTTTGAAGGCCAACGATGTCCCTTAACGACTGAGTCATTGCAGTCCAGTATCGGTGAGAGTTGTTACCTGTCTTTGAATCCTTCCCTGTCGACCAACGCCTATTGTTGTCCTGGTGGGCATGTTTGGACAGAGATCTCAAAACACAGTTGTAGATGGAAGACAAGTTGTGTCTTAGTCCACCACCTCTATTTAGTGAGGGATGTTCTATTTGGACAAAAATAACTTCCTTAACTCCTCTCTCAAACCAGCGATGTTCTCTGGAGAGGATCTGGACTTCACTGTCCTCAAAAGAATGTCCTTTGTCCTTCAGGTGGAGGTGGACTGCTGACTCTGGTCCACTGGAGTTGGCCCTCCTGTGTTGGGCCATGTGTTTGTGAAGCGGCTGCTTAGTTTCACCAATGTACAAGTCGTTACACTCCTGACTACACTTAATTGCATACACCACATCACTCTGTTTATGTCTGGGTGTTTTGTCCTTCAGGTGGACCAGTCTCTGCCGCAGGGTGTTCCCTGGTTTAAAGTTAACTGGGATATTGTGGTTGTAAAAGATCCTTTTTAACTTCTCTGATAAACCAGCCACATAAGGGATGACAGTGTTATCCCCTCTTGTTTCTGGTTTCTCCCTGTTGGGCCTCTTCCTTGCTTTGGTGAAGGCCCACTTAGGATGACAGGGGACATTGTTGGGCTTCAAAGGACTGAAACACCACCGATGGGGATAAATATCTCTGACTCAACGCCAGTCGGGCAGAACTGATGACGCCTCTTGGATGAGAAGTGAAACGTCTTTGACCTAAAAATCTAGTCCAGTTGATTTTTCTTAGTTTTTTCAGCTTACTATGACCTGGATGACTGAGAATCTGCACAGACAAAACAAAGTGTTCTATTATTGTGAATCAACAATGAAGTAGCATTTCACAATAATGAGCTGAGTTTTATTGGATTATTTCACAATTTCAATGTTGAATTACATATTTTGTATATAATACTCCACCTTCAGAGTGAGTGTGTGTTTGAGTGGGTGAATGCGAGGCAAAATTGTAAAGCTTTTTGTTCTTTAAGTAAAAAAAGCACTATAGAAGTGCAGTCCATACCATTAGTATGATTATTTATTTATTTCACAGTCTCCGTTTTTCTCAGCATTGAACACTATGTTATGTTATTTTCAGTCCCACACTGATTGAAACAGGGTTTACAGTATGCTGCTGTCTTTCTTGTTCCAAAAACAGTTCTTCTAGTACGAGAGCGTCACAGCTTGACTGCACGCTCAACAAATACACATACACTGCACAAAATGTTCCAAATGATTTCCACTGAGTGAAAATGTTGATATTGACTAACTCTTGAAATGCAGCAGCAGATAGTAGAGTTATTTAATGATTTATTGATGAGATGACACTACTGTCCTTTTATGACTTTTATAATTGGGGCACAACATGAAAGCAACTGTTCAACTGGACAGGTTCTGCACAGAGGTCAGTCCACTGGTTATACATCAGGTCATTTACTTCATTTATCTAAACATAATGATACTGATATTCACAATTTAACATTTACAGCTAAAGCTAAGATATTTGATTTTGAATAATATATTTTCTGCTGTGTTAGCCTAACATTTTTAAAAGATGAGTGGGGTGACAGTGGCGCAGTGGGTAGTGCAGTCGCTTCCCAACCAGAAGGTTGGAGGTTTGAATCTCAGTGTCTGCAGTCCACATGTTGAAGTGTCCGATGTGATGGCGGCGTGTACGCCTGCAAAATTTTGTTGTACGTGTTACAATAAAGAGGATTTTTCTTCTTCTGAGTTGAGCTTGTTTAAAAGTGAAATTATCTTTGTCAGTTTATACTGAGGGTATAAACTTCAGCCTTCTGCTGATCACTTATGATGTGTTGAGGCACACAAATGGCCGGACTAGGCTAGTATAGAGCAAGATACAGGAAAAGTTTTTTTTTTTTTTTTGAGAAGTTAGTCAGTTCTTACAAAGAGGTGTACACAACACTTAGATGAATGTAAACATAATAGTCAAGAGCAGTTCAAACTTTAAAGCAAGACTATGTACAGCGATCACTGTGCACACAATTGCAATTTATGGAATGATAGCAAACACACAGAATAGTAGCAACTAGTAAAAAGTTATTGAGTTGACACACTCATATCAGTTCCACAGAAAAATTCATATGACGTTTGCTAACATTAGCTACAATAAACTACTGGCCATATCAGACAAAGTAAGGCTGAAGCATATGCAGATCTTGAGTGTATTAAGTTAAGCAAAGGTGTGTTTTACTGCCTATCAAATCAGCTTTTTAATTTGTAAAAGGAAGAATGTGTTTTTTGTTGTAGAGGTAGGTAGGCAGTTTTACACAAACATCAGTCTTTTCATGGCTTACTGTAAGGAGAAATGTGCTTTTATTTCAGCTCCAACTCTATGGATTCACCTCTTCCTCAGTATTAGCTAGGTAGCTATTTCTAGCTATGCCTCTTCCTGTTTTGTTTGGCAAATGAAGTTGAAACTGTATTACTTGTCATGGCCAGCAGGTGGGAGGCTGATACTATCAACTAGCTTCACACAGCAGGGAGGCATTGTAGAAATAAATGTCTCAAACAAGATATGAGCAAATAATCTGCAATCTGTACCAGTACTGACAGAAATGGCAACTTGGTGGACATGCTGGCTGAAGAAACTGTAGTTTATTTTTGTTTGTTTCAGAAGAGGATAAAATCATTATTCAAACATTTCATCACTGTGCAAAACAGAAAGCCCATGTCAAAAGTGAAGGTGAAATTTCAAAAGTTCCACAGGTAATTTACACGGAGGAAAAGTCACAGGGCAATAGAACATTTAGGCCATCCAGTTGGTTAACATACCGTGGGTTATAAATTTGATCAGGAGTCAGTAAACACATTTTTTATCAAATTACATTGAATGTATTATTGGTATCTTTAAAATCTAGCATCTCAATTCCCTGCCAGATTTCTTTCCAGTTAGTACAGTATTTTAAGATGCCAGTTTTTGTTTTCCTCCAGAGATGGTTACAAAATATATTATTTACATCTTTGATAGCAGAATCATCAGCTACTAAAGATAAGAAGTGGGAATAGAAGTGGGACACTCCCTCCATTCTTTTTAATAAAACTCTGCCAAATACAGATACTATAAATCTGACTGCACCTAATTGTTAAAAGTACACTTAACAACCTTAACGCTTGATAAGAAGTTTCATGTTTGTCTTTCTTTAATATTTTTGATATATCATTTGCCTAAATATTTTTACAGTATTTTCTACTGGAATACAGAAATGCTAGTGTCAGATTTGTTGTGATGACATTGAATATCACATTTGGTTACCTCTGAATCCCAAAACATTAGAAAACCAGTTAATAATGTCATGACATTTTGAACTTGTACTTTGGGACTGTGCCATCTTCCAGTTGGTTATTTTAATTTCTCGTTCAAACCTTATGACTCCTTTGAGTTCTTTGTTATTTATAATGTGAAATAAAGTATTTCAGCCACAAGAAGAAATGAAAAGCCTTGACAAAGGGTGCATAGCAAATCTGGGTTATGAGTAAGGATGTACAGTAACCAAAATATTTACAGCAGTTGCAAAGCCTTAGAAAGAAATTGATGCTCCACATATTGAAGGCCTTATGAATGTTGAGAAGGAGGATAAGAGTCTAAGAATAATCACAGTCAGCATAATCTGAAAGGTCGACAACAAAACTGATATTATAAGTCACATGTCTCTTTGACATAAAGTCTGTTTGGCCTTTATAATTGTACTGAGACATTTATAGATCTGTTAGCATAAACCAGAGCAAGCAATTTATAATTGACTGCATATCTGACAATGTAATACGCCTCAGTAGTCAAGACAGAGAATATCTTTATCAGGTTTGGAATTAATGCACTAAGTCCCTGTTTCATGGAAGCACACATTTTCTTCAGTTTATAAATTCTTTGTGGTTCTTTAAGGTCCAAAAAATGAATAAAGAGCTCTACTGTGAGCTGACCATTTCTAGGGGATTTTCTTTGTTCATAGTGGAGGTCCGAAATGTTTCTGTCACCTAACGTTTTTTGATCATCAGAGATATGTGGAGTGAAAC